GTCACACATGAATCAGAAGAAACATGAGTAAATAAAGTTACCCACTTTTGGATCCTTTGATCTGCTTTGTCCATAATGAAGATAATTACTTAATGTGCCAGGTGTGAATGCATTTCAATATATGCCTAATGGAAATAAATACTTTGAGTCATTTGAATCATTATAGGTTCTATAGGATCAACCGCCAAACTGTTTTGAATGACATGCTTTTCTGAAAAAGATAAAAGGTGTACCTTTCATTGGCCTAAAAGTGCCATAGTACATACAATCAGATCGCCACCAGATGTTAGTTCAGTTTTTCTTAGGACCAGTAAATGCTGCTGATTTCTTTGAAGGAGTTGAAGATTGATATGACTTATTACTGTTTTCACATTTTTCATGTATAGACTAGATTATTGATTGGCTTCCTAATAATTATCCACCCCTAATAATCCATCCCTTTCCGTGCAACTCAGAAGAAGATACAGTCGTTATAGTCTTCCATAGTTCCATTCAATCTGCCAAAATCTTCAATGTTTCTTTCTCGAAGTCAAACACTGAAACAAAATTGAAATGGTGTGACATAGTGGAAATATAAAGCAAAAGAAGTAACATACTCCACCCCTGGCCATTCGGAGAGTGCTTGGAAGTTCTGTTGTCACATCCCCAGAAAAGGCATTGAAGTAGATAATTCGGTCTCTCCTAACAATAAAGTGGTTGTTACGAACATATAATCAAACTAGATAGCAAATGCATATTAAAGAATGATAAACTTGTCTGCAGGGTGATATGTATAGCTTATTGGCAGACCATTATATATATGTGTATATATATATAGAGCAGTCTTCCGGTCAGGAATTCCTGACCGGAACCACCGTCCGGACGGCGGCGTTTGGCCGCCTTCCGGGTGGAATTTTTCGATGAAATTTTTATGAAATGTTCTTCATCAAGTCTAGTTTATCCACAAAAAAATTCAGCCAAAAACTCAATCGGGAAGGTCGTCAAATGATTTTTGCAAGTTAACTGGTCCGGAAAATACATATTCCGGACGAGTTAACTTGCAAAAATCATTTGACGACCTTCCCGATTGAGTTTTTGGCTGAATTTGTTTGTGGATAAACTAGACTTGATGGAGAACATGCCATAAAAAATTCATCAAAAAATGTCACCGGGAAGGCGGCCAAACGCCACCGTCCGGACGGCGGTTCCTGTCCGGAATTCCGGACATGAATAAAATTCTATATATATATATATATATATGTGTGTGTGTGTGTGTGTGTGTGTGTGTGTGTTTTATTTAGAATAACCAAAGCATCTAGATCTAAATTGTTCCATTGTTTAGTACAAAGTATAAAAATAGTATCGTACAAACCAAGTTAAAGTACACTATTACCATTCAAATCTTGATTTCCTAAATACATCAATTAGCTGTATATAGTTTCAAGGGTCAGACAAAAAAAGGTTGCATTAAACTATCTTGCCTTGTCTGTTCACCAGTTTTTTTGACAGGTCTGTGTTGTCTGTTCTTTTCTTCAACAGTTTTTTAGTATGTATGCTAATCAAACTATATTGCCTTGTCTGTTCACCAGTTTTACTTGGGCTAAATATAGAATGGAAACTGAAGGAGTAATTGTGTGACCAAAAGGTCATAGGTCCAAGTCTTGGGAGAGGCTTCTTGTCAAATTTTGACAAGGGAGGGCTTTCCCCTTATACAGCCTTGTGGTGGGACCCTTCCCTGGACGCTCACCTTGCAGGGATGCCTTCGTGCACTGCGCTGCCCCTTTAAAAAATGTAACTCAACATATTTTTATGTACCTAATGAGTCGTCCAGCTAGATGAAAGCATGTAAAATGGGTCATGAAATTACCTCTTGTATCGCACCATGCTCAAGAGAGTCCGCGTGAAGTAATGACTGAACAAAAAAATACATTCACAAAGGGTATGCAATTTAATAACCAAAAATACCAATACAAAGACCAAAAGTACCCTTACTTAGCACTTAAACATCAAGTGTTTTAGAGATGGGAAATTGCAATACAAGAATAAACGATTTTTCCAAGCTCGGATAGTCTGATTCCCCACCCCCCCCCCCCAAAACAACAAAAATCTCTTTTCTGCTACTGAGATAATAATTGCTTGAGATGCAAGGTGACATTTAAACATATAACAAACCTTAATATCAAGTTTCAGATATATAGATGAAGCTTCTTCCCACTGGTCACTCAACTTCTGTATTTCATTCAGTGTAAAACCATGCACATTTCGTGCTGCACATCCCTGGAATACATGATTGAGGGGAAAATGTATCCAATTTGAATATTGATTGGATATGACCTTTAAAAATAACACATGCGATATATACAATTAAGTTAGTTAGATCCATGCCCAACACTGAGTTAGTGCACATCATCAAACTCATTACTAAGAGTACAATCATGAGCTTCGTAAACTCACCGTTGGGTCCGTGTATGGAGCTTCAAGTACACTTCGTACCCAGATCTCTGAAATAATGAGCAAATGAATGAATAAAAGAATACATCACTAATTAGTAATGCAAAATAAATAGATATAATAATATAAATGAAAAGATATTACAAAACTTGGTGAGGTCCAAATGAAAATAACCAATGAAGCCCACATTACCAGCAAACACAAATAAAAAGTAACCATTGTAAATTTCACGATATTGCATATTCAGGTTACAGTGTGAAAAGGATTCGTATAAATTAAATTGACTTGTTGAATTGTCTGGTTGATAGACACTAACTGAAAATCCCTTATTGGAGACAAACTGTCCTCTGTGATCTGCAAATCTCAGTGGGGGTTGTACATTTACAATCATTTGCAAATGTAAGGACACTAACATCTGAAAATCCTTTGAAAAATTGGTTCTCTTTAATCCTCTACTGTTTCGAGTGCTTATTGGTATACAATAAGCATCAAACAAAGTTCTCTACATTCAAATTGTCCATCACTGAAAACCTGCAATGCTTATTTGCCATCACACGAGATTCTTTAACTAAACCTCAAGAGTGATACTTAACATGGGAACCAACTGTGACTATGTGTGGTTCACAATACCACATAAAGGTACATATGAAGGCAAAAATTCAGACTTTCATAGTATCCCACAAACAGATACCAAGAACAGATTACATATACTGTTTGTAGGAAATCAAGAATTGAGAGTATACCTTTACAACAATACGCATTCAGCAAACAATGTAAATTTTAGATTAAGTTTTTAAAAAAGGTTAAAACCTAAGAAGAAAAAAAATCAATCACATGAGATACTTCTTAGCTCATAAAAATTGATGAACCTGCTAACAGAGAAGAGTCCGAGAGAGTTACAGATGTGTCTGGTGGTCGGCGGTGACTTGCTATGTTTCACCTTAGCTGCTGGACGGGCTCGAACGGTCGGAATCCTGACCACAGTCGGGCGGTTGGTGATGACCTGGGATGCTGCGCCGGTGATGGAGCGAGCGGTTAGGGCAGTTGGTTTGGCACCTTAGCCGTTGGGCTCGAGCGGTCAAAGGAGAGTGGCCGATAACTTGCCGGTCGCGACGCTGCGCTAGAGGTTGAGGTGGAGTGAGCGGCGGGTAGCTGCGGTAGGTTTAGATGCGAGGTTTCAAAAAATTTCTAAGACATTTGGTAAGGGTTAAACTTAGAAGAGACATGAAAACTAATTTCTCTTATTTAGAATAATGACCCCGAGAAGGATATATTTTTTATGAGAATTATAAATATGCCCCGTTTCTACTTATGCTAGTGTCACTATATGATGCTAATACTATTGTGTCACAAAATTATGGCATTTATGCATTTTCAAGACAATATGTCGCCTATTAGTGACACTTTATCACAAAGTGTCACTGACGAAGTGTCACTATAAGACATTTTTCTACTAGTGATGAAGTCATTGACCAATGCAAAAATATATTCATTTTAAATTTCAAATGTGATTGTTATGAATCAACTAGAAAGAATCAAGAGACACTAATTGTGTTATTAGAATATATACTACATCAAGTTCTAGACTTAGTCGAATGTTCTGAATGAAAAGACTATATCGTTATGATCTCTATATAAAAGGCAAATTGTTTAGCCCTCGCAAGTGTTATTATACATTAAATTGGTCTAATAAATCGTCTAGGGATTCTGTTAAACTTTAATTTGTTTAGCGCTTAATATGCTAGATTCTATGAGTCACACGACAATTAATTATACCTTTTGATTGAGTTGTTAGGATGAATTAAATATTAAAGGAATTAAATAATATTTAATTCGCAAGATTGGAAATGGATTAAATATAAATTAGATTACACTATATTTAATCCATTATTCATGTTTCTATTTGATAGAATTAATTAAATAAGATATATTAGTTTTATTGAACTTAGTTAAGATGTATTTTTAATTAAATAAAGATGATATTTTCCTTTTAATTTGGAATCAAAAGAAAATAAATGATAATGAGTTTTGGTTTCGACGGAGCTAGGACTGGTCATGTTAAAACTAGAACTCATTAACGATTAACACTTTCATTGTGATTAGGAAACTAGTTTACAACTAATATAAATATACTCCTTTATAATTGATACATCAAATTGAATATTCGGTATGATCTAGGGGGTATTTGGCAATCAACGGTGGATGTTAGCTGATAGTTGATTCTAGCAGCGGATTGATATTAGCTGATTATGTTAGTTATTTTGACCAGCCGCTATCATTTGGAAACTTAGTCGTTAAGACGTATAATGACTTTAAAGGGTGCATATAAAATAATACATGAATTTGATTTATCTTTTTATGGAGTATATTTTTATTTTTTTGACAAGTACATTAACTATTATTTTATATAGCCACTGCTATTAGTATTTTAGCATATGTACGTGCACACACAAATAAATATATATTATATAATAACATTATTTTTAACTATTATATATAGGGGTTATGTCTAAAATATTACTAAAAAAAAGATGTAGACAAAAAAAGTGACCTTTTTTTGTTCCAAAAATGTGACTAAAAAAAGCAAAGGAACTATTGCACCCTTATTAAGCCCAAGCCCAATTGGCCTGCTACAATAACCCGCTACAGTAACAAAAGGTGCAGTGACCAATTTCAACTATTGTTACAGTGACCAGTGACACATACAATCAGTGACAATGACATGTATGCCCAATGACAGTTACACGTCAGCCCGTCGAGTGATTCGTTTGGGACATTTTAAAACATTTAGGGATTCTAATAGACTTTTCTGTACATACATGGACTTCATTATAACATTTTGGGACTTTTTGGGACATCAAACATTTTGGGATTCTAAAACAGTTCGTCTCCCCTGAATCGTCCTTCAAGATGAATTGCAGACCATCTGGGGTGGGTACATTTGATTTTCGTTTCCAATGAGAGTCCGTTTCCCAAGTGAAGATTCGCTCCTTCGGCCGTGCCAATCAAGATTCCGCTCACGGCAGCCTCTTTCGGATCCGGAAGCCGAGCCTTTGGATCCCTAGCCCGTGCCTCGTTCTTCCTCGCGCCAGAGCTTGCTCTGCACGATCGGAGTTTTTTCTACACTAGATCTGCTCGCGTCCAACTTCCCCACCGGACCAGAGAAATTACTCGGAAACGACGACAAGAGATGTTCTTGATTTCCCAAGCTCCTTCTTCACGTCTCAGGCTCTTCATCGCGTCTCGTAGGTGGATTTCAAACCTCACGTATGGGGTGAGATTTGAGAATGAGCTTTCAGCTTGTATTTGGGCTTGTAAGTCTGAGAAAGTCCAAGTTCTAAAATAAAATTCATGTCTCAATCCAATATGAATCACCTAGACATTTTGGGATTTATAAAATGTTTTAAAATGTCTTACTCCCTCCGTTCCAGGGAGAAGTTCCCGGGTTGACTTTCACACATATTTAGGAAATAAAGTTACTGAGGGGTAAATTTTACTGTTTGACACTGTTTCGACACTGTTTGGCACTGTTTCGACACTATTTGGCACTGTTTTGCACTGTTTGACACTGTTTTGATGTAGGATAACTTTCCATTTAGGGAAATGGGAACTTTTTGTTGGGACTACCAAAAAAGGAAAGTGGGAACTTCTCCCTGGGACGGAGGAAGTATTTAAATACATCAGATTTAAAAAATCTTAAAATGTCATAGGGTTGGTTTGCGAACGCTTTAAGGTGTGGTTTGCAACAACTTTTAATAAAGCACTTCTCAGCTTTTGACTTTAAAAAAACACTTATTTTCCCAAACACTACAACTTTTATTTTTCTCGGCTTCCGCGTAAAAAGTGCTTTTACTTTTTCTATTACACAAAAAACACTTATTTTACCAAACACTACCCACTTTTACTTTTCAAAATCACTTTTTTCTCAAACACTATCAACTTTTATTTAATCACTTCTCCCCATTTCATTAAAAAAAGCACTTTTTTAAAAGTAGAAACTGATGAAAACAAACCCTAAAAAAGCACTTCTCGACTTTTGGCTTTAAAAAAGTACTTCTTTTACCAAACACTACAACTTTTATTTTTTTCGGCTTTCGTGTAAAAAGTGCTTTTATTTTTCTATTACACAAAAAACACTTATTTTACCAAACACTACCAACTTTTACTTTTCAAAATTACTTTTTCTCAAATACTTTCCACTTTTATTTAGGGCTGGTTTGCAACAGCTTTAAAAAAAGCACATTAAAAAAAGTGCTTTTTTATAGCAGAAGCTATTGCAAACACTCCCTTAATCACTTCTTCCCATTTCATTAAAAAAACACTTTTTTAAAACCAGAAGTTGTTGCAAATAGACCCTTAAAATGTCTAAAATGAATACTCTCCTTAATCAATTTGTTTAAACTAATTTATAATTTATATATGAGCTGTGTTTAGTACTGGCGGAAGCGGAATATCTTCATCGTCGGAACTGGTTTAAGGTGAAAAACCCGCACTAAAAATGGCGGAAGCGGAATATCCAAATCGGAGCCCCGAAATCCGAAAGGATGGAATCAATGACAGGTGGGTGATATTCTCGCCAGCGAGATCACGACGGCCGTCGGACTTCAAGGCCAAATCGAATCCTAACCCGAATAACCAATCGGGGTGCCCATTCTGCAAGGGCCATGAACACGAGTGTGCGCCGGAGATATTCCGCATCCCGCCTGATGCCACCTCCGATTGGGGAATCAGAGTTATCCAGAACCTCTACCCGGCCGTCAACAGAGACTTGCATTTCCAGGCTGAGAATAATCATGATTCATTGCACGGCGTCGTTTCGATACGCGGATTCGGGTTTCACGATGTGGTGATTGAATCTCCGGTTCACTCGGTTCATCTTAGCGATCTTTCACAGGCACGGATTGGGGACGTTTTTCTGGCTTTCAAGACTAGGATCGACCAGATTCGCATTAATCAGTCCATCAAATATGTCCAGGTCTCCTACTTTTCCATCTTGTTATTTTGTATAAGCAGTTTTCTCTATTCTATAAACAGTCGTTGTTTCATTTTTGAAACATGCATAAGTTATTATGGGACTGGAATAACAAAAACAAAAACAATCAAGAGCCAACATATTGGTCATTATTCTTAAAGCTTGTATGACTCATTGACATACTTTATTTTACTTTTTTGTTTGTTGTTATCAGGGGTGGATCTAGCTTTGACTTCTAGAGGCCAAAATTTAACTAAATAATGTATATTGAGAAAAAAGCATCTATTGTAACAACAAAATCAAAGACAAAAATTAACATTATAAGAATAAGAGTTTTCAATAAAATCAAATACAAAAACGGAAAAACACCACAATTTTACAACTGTTCTTTACGGGTTTTCATCGTTGATATTGTTTGATAATGACATCATTGTCAATTTTCAAGAAGATGTAATTTTCTACATAAACAATAAGTCTATCTCTGAGCCAATTATCACTAATCCGGTTGCTCGGCCTATCCTTCACCATATTCATTGCTGAAAATACTCTTTCAAAACTAACGGTTACACCGGGAAGAATCAATACCAAAGTCAACAACTTGTAAACTAAAGAAAACACCTTATGCTTCTTAGTTTCTACCAACTTCTCTTGTCACCAAGTCCTTTAAGGTCCTTGAATAAAGCATTAAAGCGCACATCAAAGATATAACTTTCAAGTTGATCTTTGAGAATACAAACACCCAATGGTGAAAAATCTTGGGGATAAAACCCGGTCAATCTAAGCAATTTCTTCTTTTCAAAAGCAAAAGATGAATCTTGTGGAGATAAACAAGCAATGCAAAGTAGCAACTCTGTACTAGCTTTTGAGAAACAATCACCCAACTCTTGCACAGTTGCACTTGCTAATCAATCGCAACACAAAATCGATCATAGCAATAGTGATGCAAATTTGTAAGAGTTGATCCTTTATGTACGAGGCGACCTCATGAATCAAAATGGATAAATGTGTCATAATGTGAACCCCAACGTTTATCACCTCATCACTATGTATCACATGAAACACATTACTAACAACAAAAAACATTGAAATCGAGCTCACGAAAGATCTATAATGTGAACCTCAACGTGTATCAGCTGCGCGCTAAAGGCTATATTCTCGGTTAAGACCAAGGCGGATTGGGCCTAGGGCCAGGGAGGGACCAAACCCACCCTAAATGTTTTTAATAGTATGTGAGTGTGTGTGTGTGTGTGTGTATATATATAGATATACAATTGTTTCTAATTAGTATATATATACATATATATATATATATATAAAATGTTTTTAACTAGTATGTGTGTGTATATATATATACTGAGGAATGATCTTGTACATATGGATGTACAGGAGGCTCAGTACGGACAAAGCCATCCGAGACCCTTCTCGGTGGAATTTTTTGATGAAATTTTTTTAGCATGTTCTTCATCAGGTCTAGTTTATCCATACCAAATTTCAACTCAAAATTCGATCAGAAAGGCAGTCAACTAAGTTCTTGAAATATATGGCGCATTCTGCGCACATATAATGTGCAATATATTTCAAGAATTTATTTGACTGCCTCCCCGATTGAATTTTGAGCTGAAATTTGGTATGGATAAATTAGACTTGATGAAGAACATGCTCAAAAAAAAAAAATCATCGAAAAATTCCACCGGGAAGGACCTTTGATGGCTTTGTCCGTACGGAGCTTCCTGTACATTCATATGTACAGAAACAACCCTCTATATATATATAAATGTTATTAACTAGTATATGCATAAGTTATCTCCGTCATCGCCACGTCGGAGTGTCGTACTCGGACGGCGGCTCAAGCGCTCAGCACTCGGATGGTTTAGAGGCCGTTTGACAACACTGTTTTTCGACTTGTCAGGCTTATCAGCCAACTTTGTCATCAAACACGTAACTTTTGTTTTCACGCGCTAAATTGTGTAATAAGCAGAAAATGTAAGGTTGGAGTTACTTTTCTGGCTGTATTGACTGAAGTTACTGTAGATGACTATTTTAACTATTTTTAAATATAACTTTTTCTTTTTTTAATAATAAAATATATTTTAAAAATATTTTTTTCTTAAATCAGCAGAATGCAACCACTTCAGCCAGAACTTCATAAATTTCAGCCAAATTAGCCGATTTTCAAGCTATCAAACAGGCTCTTAGACTATTTAGGTTCTGCTCTTCGGTGGTAATTGTTATGTTCCCGGGCTAGAGCTCGCATCAACCGGCGGTTGGTGAGGGCAGAGAGATGGGATCCCTCTATTTTTGCAGGTAATAACGGAAAATAAAGGAAGGCAGGGAAGGGGATAAAAACTTCAGGAATTTTATGGAGTTCCTATCTCCTTGATAAGACTTAATTTTGGCTTGTTTATTATTGAAAGCAAGAGTCCCTACTTATAGTAAAGGTTACAGGAACCAGTTAAGGAAGGAGAGAATTACATTAAATCAAATCTTAAAATAGACTTATCTAATGATGGAAAGTAATAAAGCTGCAGATCAACTTAACTAAGGAAAGTAATTAACTAGTCTAATGAAGGAAAGCAATCAAACAATAAATCAGGAATCTGTTGCGAAGGAAATTATTATCCTTCCATAATTAACTGCTTAATCAGCTAAGGATCTGCCACTGATTTGCGGCGCTGATAGGTCTTTCCGTAGAATGCATCATCACTCTCCTTCGGGACATCAAGCTTGTCCTCAAGCTTGAAAGATGGGAACTGATGTTTAAAATCATGAAGTGGTTCCCAAGTAGCCTCTTCCAAAGGAAAGCCTTTCCAAGCAACCAAAACTTCCGGAGAGCCTCTATTTGATCTGGTGCGCACAACAACTTCTGGCTGAAGGAGTAGCCGACCTTCTGTGATTGGGGGTAGTGGTGGTGCATGATCAGGCGGACTGCCGACAAACGCTTTCAGTTTTGAAACATGAAAAACGTCATGAATGCGACAATCGACAGGCAATTCAATCTTATAAGCAACTGGTCCAACCTTGTGCAAAACTTTAAAGGGTCCATACCATTTACGGCCTGTTTGGATTAGGTGTTGGGAGGTGTTAGTAATGGAAGTGTTAGGGAGTGTTTAGATTAACACTTGTTTGGGAGAAAGATTAAAAAAAATGAAGGTGTTAATAAGTGTTTGGGGGTGTTAATCAAAACCATCCTAACACCTATATTTACCACTTTTTTAACACTCCAATTTGGGGTGTAATGAAGTGTTGGACAACCTTTGCCCCTATTATTCCCAACGTTCTCTGTGTCCAATTTCTCAGCCGCAGCCAACACTGCTCTTCGTCCATCCGCAGCCAAGTCCATTCTTCTTCTTCCTAAGTCCGATTTTCTTCTTCGGCAGCCCCTAACACCGTTCTTCTTTTTCACCTCCTGCTGCAGGGCTGTTCTCCTCCAGGTTTGTCTTCTCCTTCTTCTTCATCCTTTTCGATTTTAGCTATCTGCGAATTATTTATTCATTCAGCTCTTGCTATACATATACATATATATATATATATACATATATATATATATATATATATATTCAGATTCAATAAACATATTTATTCTCCAAACAATTTATTCTCTTGGTCTCCTTCTAGGTTTGTATGGAGCTTTATCAATTGAATACGAAGAAAACTTCAACGATGCAGTAAATAGCAGGCCGTGAGCTTTATATATTGTTGCACATTCTACTTCATTTTTGCTTTAATTATATTGATATTTTTAAAAACTGGTTGATGTTGTTTATACTCAAAAGATGTACTGAGTATTTTTTGTTGATTCTTCTCTAATATAATTGACTTGAATATGACCGAGTATTATATTTGCTGATTATACCAAGTATATGATGATTGTTATGAGGATATTCTTGTCATTTTAAATGAAAACACTTCCATTATTAACACTTCATTTTTTTGACTCTCCCAAACAAGGTAAGATTATGTGTAACACTTACACTTACCTTCCTTTCCGGGCCCGTGCCAACACTTATTAACACTTCCATTACTAACACTTCCTCACACTCCATCCAAACAGGCCGTTAGGAGATAACTTGTGAAATCGCTGGTTGGGTTCATAATTGACCTCATGATGGTGCTTATCATACTGATACCTCATTCGGGTTTGAGCCTGTTGGAGATGATGTTGAGCAACCATGAGGATTTCATCTCGAGATTTGAGCAATTCATCCACCGCTGCTACTCTAGAAGTCCCTGGTTCAAATGGTAAGAGGTGAGGTGGGTCACGACCATAGACCAACTTGAAAGGAGTAGTGCGTAAGGAGGAATGAAACGAAGTATTATAGCAATACTCAGCCCATGGTAAACTGTCCACCCAACGCCTTGGAAAATCGCCAACTAAACAACGCAAGTACATTTCTATAGTGCGGTTTACTACCTCTGTTTGGCCCTCAGACTGAGGGTGATAAGCAGTGGAAAATGAGAGTTTGGTACCACATAAACGAAAGAGTTCACGCCAAAAGGAACTGGTGAAGGTTGCGTCACGGTCATTGACAATAGTCTCTGGAATGCCATGCAATTTGATAATGTTGGAGTAGAGGACCATAGCTCCGGAGGCCGCTGTATATGGATGAGCTAGAGGAATGAAGTGTGCATATTTAGACAGACAATCAACCACCACCAAAAGGACTGATTTGCCATGAACCTTGGGAAGACCCTCAACAAAATCCATAGAGATGTCAGCCCAAATTTGTTGTGGGATAGAAAGAGGTTGAAGAAGGCCTGCGGGATTCGTATTTTCCCATTTATTTCTTTGACAAATAGCACATTGTGCAATAAATTCTCTAACCGAGGCAGCAAGTTTGGGCCAACAAAATTCTCGGCGAAGGCGATGGATGGTTTTCTGCACTCCTTCATGAGTAGAGTTGTGTACCTCTGCCAATATGGCCTGGATTAATTTTGAGGAAGGCAGCAGAAATAATTTGTTCCTCTTGAATAATAGACCATCACGCACGGAGTACAAGCCATCT